CGCACCGATGCGTAAAATTTTTAGCTATTTTTTAGCATTCCAGTTATTTTTGCACAGAACAAAGTGTTAAGCAGTGAAAATCATTGGCGACGCGTACCGGGAGGGCCCGTGCGATTATGCGTTCTTGCAGTATTTCCTGCTGTAATGAGATCCTCCAAAAACTCAATAGCTAGAAATGTGTGACATACACTTCCTTGAAGCTCGAGAAGTTAGCTGTCTATGCGGTAGTTGGAGAGGAGACATTTCCTGAAAATTTCAGCCTCTCAGCTTCCCTAGTTCCCGAGTTAGCCATTTCCCCGCCAAAAATTTTCACGGGGCCGTATGTGAGAACCACGCACACCGAGAGGCTGAACTTGTTAAGTTTATGTCGCACTTGAGCTGGGAACATTCCCCGAAAATTTCAGCCTCCCAGCTTCCCTGGTTCCTGATTTAGCAATTCTCCCCGCCAAAAACTTCCACGGGGCCGTACGTGAGGACCGCGCATGCCCGGGGGCTGAATTTGCTAATTTTAAGTTGTACATGGGCTGGGATATCCCTTTAAAATTCCAGCCTCCCAGCTTCCCTGGTCCCCGAATTAACAGTGCTTCCCGCCAAAAATTTTCACGAGGCCGTACATGAGGAACATGTACACCTGCGGGCTAAATTTAATAATTTCAGCTTTCACGGTGGCTGGGAACAACCCTTTAAAACTTTAGCCTCCCAGCTTCCCTGGCTTCCCAAATTGGCCACTTTCTCATCAGGAACCCTCATGAGACCGTACACAGGAACCAGTATACCTCGGGACTGAACTTGATCTTTTAGTTTCAGATGAACGGAGGAAATCATCCCAAGACTTCAGCTTTCTAGGTTTTCTAGTTCTCGAGTTAGCGATTTTCCCGCCAAAACTTTCACCCTGTCATACGCGGGGCCCAGACTTGCATAACAGTTGGTGCCGTGATCCTGCAGTGGCACTTGGCTGGAGAACCCGAAGGCAAAATCTTGGCGCCAGAGATTGCTTGAGTACCGGGGTGAAATACCCGAACGGACAGAAAGATAGACAAACAGACACACACACATCATAGGTCGTCACAGTATGCATTTTGCCAATTTGCATATAAGCAAAAACGCATAATCATTAACAGGCAATCGTTTGGTGGACGGAAGTGCATACCCAGGCTGGAACGCACCAGGCGGGCTGGAGCGAGTATG